TGGTGTCTGCTTTCTAGACTTTGTGCAGCAGTGGTCCATAGAGACACCTTTATATAGCTTTCATTCCGCAGTACCAGCCACACAACATGCCCCTTCAAACTGCGCTACATGATGTGCAGTTCATCCACCACCTGGTCTGAGTACACTCCCACCACCAGAGTATTCATTCTGAGACTTGCTTTTACCCGCAAGCTGAATAATAAACACCCTAACAAGTAGAAAGTCTTACAGAGTTCTCTGCCAAACTTCACCTCACTTTTTAAAGTCAGTCTCCACAGTTAGCCCTAAAGACAGCATTTCACAGCAGGTGTTCTGCACCCATTGCTCTTATTTAACATTGTTAGCTTACACAATGCCAAACAAACTTACAATACTGTATGACTACACACTGTCAAGCATACCAACTCTGTTTTCCTGTCCTTCCCTGTGCCTTGCAGCCTGACTGCACACGAGCAGCTGACCTCACCCTCCCCACTGCTGCTAAACCGAAATCACCTCCTACCACCGATTGGTAGCACTGATGTGGCAGAACACACGAGCACCGCAGGATCGCAGAGGCAGACGGTAACAGGCAGAACCATTTGATTTTCCTACTGGACATGCTAAAATTGTAGTTAGTGCTGATGAAATTACCAAGCACAGGAGTTGCAGTTCGTTTATCTTGTGACAGCAGCTGAAATAGATGCGCTAAAATACTGCACGATTTTTGACCAACAGCATCATCCAGAGTTGAATGCTGCAAGTCCAATAAGTGCCAAAATTTTCTTCCTCCCAGAAAGAAGGTGTGGAACGTTTTGTCTTGGAAAACTAGCTTTAATTCTTAGGGTAATTAAATTCAATGTACTGCTGCAATAAGGAAAAGTAATAATGCCATTATTCTTTAATGCAGAAATCTCGAGGAAACTCAAGTCGAGCTCACAGCGTAACAACACACGAAGATACTCACCAGCACCTACACGAGAGGCTCTTCTTACCTGATCATTTCTCCAGGCCTAAAACAACCAGCATATTCTTGGTAAAGCATATGATACCAACTCATCCTCTGTTACTGACTAGGGGGCTTTGACAGTTACCACAGATAGTGATTGGCCATCTGGTTTTAGTTTCCGTGTAAACTTCAACATCCTTGGCTCTCCAGATACCAACGGACAAACTTTCTAAAAACCCATTTTGAAAGAGAACAATTTTCTGAAGTGTTAAGAACCCCTCTAAATTGTCCCACAGTCTATCTAAGGGTGTAAGAAGAGTATTTTCTTCTCCTGAAATTGATCTAACTCTCCTTAAACATGTAAAATCTCTACTTAGAACATCACAGCATCGTGCAAATTTGCTCTTTTAGGAAATAAGTACAATCAAGTTGTTTTTAGGTGCTTTATAGTCTTGATGTTAGCCTTTTTTTTCTTGCAAACATAAAGATCTTGAACTGTCTTTTCAGCCAGATCCACAGCATCGCCGTTCTTGCACTGTTATTGATTATGGCAATCATGCTTGGACAAGCAGAGCATCAACAGGTTCAGGTAAGCTCATCAGGAAATCAAGGGAGAAGAAGGCTTTTCACCACTGTGTTTTGGGGCCCTCAATTGAGTTATGAGGATTTCTCACATAAGAAGAGTATGTATAGTAAAAAGATGGAATTAAAGCTGCAAAAGATAACAGCAGCTGCAAAGGATAAGGGGTAGCAAGCGTTTAAGTGCTGATGAGGAGACTGCAGGGGACTTCTAGCTTGTTTAACAGCTGAATGACCTACATTAATATTAATAGAGATGTATAAGAGGCAGCCAGAGTTTTATTTAATAAAAGTACTAAATTGAAATAACTTCTTTTTAATTGAAGAGAGGAGGATTTCCAATTAATGCAGAATTGAGTTCCTCCTCCTTTCTCCCCTCCAGCCAGCATATTTAAATAGGAGTTTTATGACTGTTGTGTTGACAGAAAAAACATTGAAATTACAAAAGCTTTGTAGGCATAAATGATGTGTAGACAGAAGATCAAGAAGCAGAGTAGATCCCAGCAATGAAGCGGTCCTACCTTTCACCCCTTTGAGAAGGACAGTCATATCTAAAACTTAAGGTTCCAGCTGATGACATGGTTTGATAACTGATTACTTTCCTCTTAAGAAGGCCTCAGGCTGAAAGAAACAGCAAATTACCTTGAAAGTTACATGAAATAGTTTTCAAGTTACTGATGAACTGACTGACAGCTGGAATAAGAAGCAAGAAAACCCCACCATCTTAGTATTAAGCGAAAGGAGCTGCATTTAAGTACTTAGCTTCAGTAACTTCTAAAAGTCTTTATGTTGTCTGCAATGTCTTTCTCAGGTCTGCAGGCACACGGTTCTGTGAAAGGCCAAAGTCGAAGTGGATCAGTCACAAAAAACAAACAGGGCTTCTAACGTGTCATGAGAAGCAGTGTACATCCACCTCCAGAAAAGTCACGGGCGACCTCTCAGCAACGTCAGGGCTGTTTACAGAGAGTCTTCAAGCACCCTTCCTTACGAACAATCTTATTTTTATACAGTCAAAGAAGCAACTGCCAAAGATTAGAAGGGATATACTTGCACATTCCATTTTCTACCAATACAAAAGGCTATCCTCCAACGCCTACAAAACCTAGCAAGTACTTTAAATCACTGCTGTTTTCTATTAATTATTACTGTTTTGTGACTGGTTCATGTTACAGGCTTGTACTGCAGGACCTGCTGATTTTTCCATCAGCTCTACAAAAGGTTAATCACACATTCCATAGCAGTAGTTTTGAAAATTACTTTTAAAGCTCTATTTATACACTTAAAGCAATATTATACTATCAAAAGGAAGCTTTGTATATGATACTGCTTCTACAACTCTGTAGAAGTTTCTGTAGTAGTTGCAGCAGATGTTAACACAGTTGTGTAAAAATAAGGTAGCAAAACAGATGAAGGGAACTGACAGCTTTAAGGGTAGCATACCACTGAACCCTCCTGTGTTATATGCTTACATATAAACCTCCTTCTGTGTCTGAAGAAAGTTTAAGGGACAAAAAGGACTCTTACTACAAGCAGTTCCAGAGAATATTCCAAGGAAGTATGTTGTCTTCCTGGCAAGATGTTTTATGTAGTTTCACAGAACAGGTCAGTCTCATTTCCCAAAAACAAAAACCAAACAATGGCACAAGAAACTCGCACTGCAATTCTGTAGGTATTTCTACACTCCATCCTGAAGGTCCCCACACACACCATGTGGGAGACGTGGTGGAGGGACCAGCTTAGCTGCTCTTGTGGCTCCCAGTGAAATGAAAACACAGAATACAGACTTTTCAACATAAACGATTAGTTGAAGGTCTTGCTCCCAAGCAGTAAGCAACAGATGACTAGCAAGGGTAAAGACAAGCTGAAGATAACAACATTCCTGCATTTTCCTGCAAGAAAACAGTTGATCCTTTATAATTCCATTTAAAAACATTTTTTATAAGTTTCCTTACTCTTAGTATTTTCCAAGTTACAATTCAGAATGGAAACAACTTGTCAGGATTTTTTAATGAAGTGGCTCCTGTACTTTCCACGGCAAGCTATGCAATCTACTGAGTGTTAGCAATACCTACACAACAACTAATTATTTTTGAACTAGACTGAAGTTCTGCTGATCAAAGCATGCAGTTGATTCAAGCATGCTGTGATCAAAAAGAATGGAAAACAAAGCAAAGCAGAAATGTACAAATGGAAGGTTAACTCCTTCCTTTGCATTTCCAGAGGAAAAAGCAGCTTTGGACTCAATCAACATCTCTTTAAGTTAGAACAGAGATAAGTGGATGCCTAAAAGCAGCCAGTGATCACTAAACTTTCAAAATACAGTTTCTCTAATGGTTAAGACTAGCAGAACGCCGTGCAGTGTATCATTTAGTTATCTCAAGCAGCCTGGAGATAAGCATCCTCTTTAAACCAGTGCCATTCCTCAGGGACCAACACAGTGCTTACAAGTACTAAACTACACAAACTTGAACAGGCTTTTCTAGAACCATAATGCAGTATTTTGTAGCCTAGGGGAGGAAACAAGGCATTAAAAAAAAATGAAAGCCATCTGGGCATAAGGTAACTTTTGATTTCTGTACAAATGGTTGAGAGATTTGTCTATACTGTTTGATATCTGTTTTGTATAGCAAGAGTTATGTTCAAGTCCCGTGTGTTAACCAACACAGTGACCTACTGAACTCTTTCTGAATCAGGATAACTGTTCAAAGCAGCTAAACGGGAACTCATTTCCCATTCTACCTCTGGCTTCCCCTTAGGAAGCTCTAGTAAATAGTTGCTGAATTCTATCACTGAAGTGGTAGGGACCTTCAACTCACAAGTAGGTGTTAGTCATGTGGCCTTTGAAGAATAAGCCATAAATAAAGCCAGCCTCATTTCTTTCAGCTACAGCAAGTTACCCTTCAAATTCATAGCCTGAATATACACTACATAAAGCAGTTTTAAAAGAGCAGAAATAAAAAAAAAAAAAACAAGTTATGTATACTTACACATATTAGAAGAGCACTTCTGAAATAACAGAGCTGTTGACAAACACGGAGCACACTACAGCAGGAGTCAGAAGTAATCCCTATCATCCTATAGCAGGAGTGTGATGCCACTAAAATAAGTGTGTTGCTAGGCTTTGAAAGTCCTCGTCATGGGACATCACCAATCCTAGACACACACAAAGCCAGTGTTCTGTGGGTTTATTAATTTACTGCATCACATCAGCACGTTAGAAGGTGTTAGGAGATTTACTGCCAAGTCACTCACCTACTTGCTGCAGTCTCATTTTCTTAAGGCAACTGCTTACACGCCACTGTGAAAGATCAGCTTATAAATAATAAGTGGTCCTTTTGTATAACTCCATAACACCAGCACATTTACCAGTGCAGATGTCTTCTCAGCTGCTAAAAAAGTATGCAGTATTTACTTCAATAAAAATAAGTACCAACATGATCAGTGTGTTTTGAATGATAACATAGAGGACGTGGGGAAGCAAGATACCACAAAGTTCTGCAAAATCATTTATTAAATCTTCTGTTCTCGTAAGTTTTTATAAAACCCGTGGAATCTCTGAAAAATACCTGTGGTGCAGAGATCTCTAAAAACTGCACGAGATTGGTTAGAAAAGTGAACAACATAAGGATAAGGTTTCTAACTCAAAAGCCACAGGAGCAAGTGGCAAAGACTCAGGTGCAGGACCATATTCTTTCACTATCAGCAGTACTGATAGTCCTGAGCGTGAATCAGCACAGGTTGAATAAACAGGCAGCCATCCCAGGCGTCTCAGCACTTCCTTACCGTAACAAAACTACTAAACTAGAATTGGTTTGACCTTAACTAAAAACCACCCAAAAGATTTTAAACAGTAGCACTAGAATGCTTTGTCTTTCTTGTTTGCAATGCGCCATGCTCCTCAGTCACATCAAGTTGATGCACACACGCTCTCAAACTCCTCAATCCACGTGTTCCCAGCTGAAAAGATACCTGACACTTCAGCATACACAGTTCTTTATTTCTTTCCTTTCTTGGCTGCAGGCTTCTTTCCTCCCTTTTTAGCATTACTCCCGTATTTTGCTTCCATTTGGGCCAAAAAGTCATCCATCTGCTTTTTTCGGTCTTTATTTCTGCTCTGGAGGAGGAAAAACAAAACAAAACCAACTTTTCCTACTGCTCAATATCTCAATATGGAACATTCTAGTGAAGTTAGGTAGCTGATTCTAACTCTGGAATATATTCAGTAGGGAATACAAACTACAGAAGGTAGAGTTCTGAAAAGTCAAAGCCTACCTTCTACTCTAGACTCCATACTTCTGTGAAGTATTCAGACAGAGGTGAAGAGGGGCATTGAAAATTCACAACATACAGCTATGAAAACAACCAATTTATTGTTTAGACCCAAAACTCTAATACAATCTGAGGAATCATTTAATTTCAACATCCCATTTTAAGCCCACTGGACATTAAGAAAGGCAAGACTGATAAACAGAACCTAGATAAGCTATTTTCTTCCTCACTGCCCAAAACACAAAAGCAGAATACTAAGACTGATCAAGTTTTACATTCTTGTGGAATCTCTCAGAAAGAAATAAGCATTAACACTTCCTGTCCAACCGCCTAAAACTAGAAAAGTTAAAGAGTTGAAATGTGTATGAAGTAAAAAATGAACATATTATAACAACTCATTTAAAAAAGATACAGGTAATAAAATCTATACTCTGAATATTAACTAAGTAGAGAAGCTGCTTTGGCAGGGGGGTTGGTCTCGATGATCTCTAGAGGTCCCTTCCAACCCCTACAACTCTGTGATTCTGTGATTCCCTACCATCAGGAAGCTTTTACGGAAGAAGAGCTGCAAAGATCCTACATATGAAGATGCTCAGGGAAAACACAATTTGAAGTGAGGAACAATTATCTTCAATGGATGCTTAAGGCCTTACTTGAATCAGTGCTTTCAAGTCATCTTCTCCATCACCGAGGCCCAGTTCTTTTCTGCTCTCTTCTGCCTCCTTAGCTTCTTTTTCAGCCTGAAGTAGCAAATTAGCCTTTAGAAAAGTATTTTGCATGCGTCCACATCTTAGAATAGTTACTAAACACTTAACTTTTGCATTGATACACTAAGAGCCACAATGAAATGCAGTTTCCAAGTTTGGCCACCAATGAATAATCACAGAGAGACAGTTTGGTAGAGTGGGGCAGCTCCTTGCTGTTTGGCAGTGCTGAACATCACCTCATGTCCATTCCCATCCTTGTTCCCTGTACCCACGCTTTTTTTTTTTTGTGTCCTAGCAGCCATTCTATTTTCTTTGAGTTAAAGGTGACTGTTATGTGCAGGGCACAAAGCGTCAAAATAAAACAAAAACAAAACACAAGTTGGAAAGAATTTAGCCCAGGCTGTTATTTTACAGTCGTCAATAAGCATGTAAATTATATATTTCCCCCACGTACTCTTAGCTCCACTGACTGTAGCTTTGTAACTGAACGAAGGGACATTCTGAGCTGTAATAAGTTACTGTGGATAATACTGAAATAGAAGAAAGAAGGTACAAGCAGTAGCAGCCTGTTACTACTTGAACCCTCTCAACCATTTGACTGGAATTACTGTAAGCAATAGTTATGGAGAGAGGAGGGAGGTGGAAAATAAAGGCGATGAAGTGTGGAAGAGGAAGGTACCAAGCAAGTCTGCAACCCTGTGGCAAATACACATCCTAAGCTTCCACCAACGGAGATGAGAAGCTCGTTGTGCACACACAGCTTTCTTTTGGTCTCTGGTTGGTACCTACCCGCCTCTTTCTTGCCATCGTTTTCTGCTTGGACTCTTTCACAAAAGCTTTGTAGGATGGGAGTTTTCCAGCATCAATGGCTCTTTCTATGATCTTCCTCACTCTTGGCTCATCCGTGTAGTCCACACACAGCACCGACTCCATTATTCTGTCCATGTCACCCTCAAAATCCATGTAAGCCGATTTAATATCCGCTAGCTCTTGCTCTGAATCTTTGTAGTTCTTCTCAAAGTCTTGAATATCTTTGACGGTGATCTGAAGCCAAGAGAGCACACCACACGAGTTAGGACGAAGGGAGGGCAGCAAAAAGCAGGCAGCGTGCCAGCCCGCAGCACAGCGGCGCTCACCTTCTTGAAGAGCAGCCTCCAGTACTCCTGCCAGTCCCGCTCGGCCCGCAGCGCCTCGCCCTCCTCGTCCACCGTGCCCTGCTCGTCGTACACGGCGCGCTGCTCCGCATCGCTCAGCACAGCGTAGGCTTTGCCCAGGATCTGTGGGGCCGGTCGGTCAGTTAGTCGGCCCGTCAGTCGGTCAGTCGGTCCGTCAGTCAGTCAGTCTGTCTGTCTGTCGGTCGGTCAGTCAGCCGCCCGCCCGCTCGCTCGCACTCACCTGGAAGCGCCGCGTCGCCTCCTCCTTGGTTTCGGGCTCGGCCCGGTCGGGGTGGACGCGGAGCGAGGCGCGGTGATAGGCGCGGCGGATCTCCTCAGGCGAGGCCTCCCGGCGGACGCCCAGCGCGCCGTACAGGTCGGCGGCACCGAAGGCGGCCTGGCAGTCTTGCAGCAGCCCCATCCCGCCCGCAGCCCGCCAACCGCCCCGCGGCACGGCGCACGCGCGAGGTGGGGCAGACGGGAAGCACCGCCCCCCCCACCCTCACCGACGTGCTGCTCAAGCGGCTGCTCCGCCGAGTGACTCGGAGCGGTACCCGCCTCTTCCTCAGGGAAACCTGGAGCGGCTCTGCGTATACAAAATACGCGCCGGGACTCGTAATTAGCTCCCGACGCGAAACCCCCCCAAACCAGCCCCTCGAAGTTGCCTCCCTGCTAAAAATAAGGATTCTCCACGAAAGCAGCAAGAGGTCCTAGAAAAAATAAATAAAGCAGCAGCCCTTCACAATATTGGTGTTCGTAGCATCTAAAGCCAACGTGCACACGCTCCCTTCTCCCTGAAGGTGACTTCACACCAACGTGAAAGCAGAAGGGTCGGTGTTCCAGCAGAGAAAAGCACTCCAATGGAGATACATTCGTACAAAATTCATATGGTCTTTAATGAAACACAAGGTAAGTGGTATACACAGACTGATACATACAAAAAGACAAACCAGAAGTTAGCATGTGGCATTCCCTGCGCCTTGAAATGTTTGCCTTCTCTATCGCTACCACGGAGGGAATAAAACACAGCAGCATATCGCAGGTTTCAGCTCCTAGTTACAGAATTCAAATGGTAACATAGTAGAATATTCTTGCTTTCATAAAAAAAAAAAAAAATCTCTTACAAAAGCTAGCTGGTATCTACCATTGTAGGAGAGCTCTGCTGATGTCAGGGAGTCCACCATTCACAGCCTGATTAACTGATTCTCGCTGTACAGCTCAGGTTACACCTGCCATGATTAAGTCAGTTCCAAGAGACACCAAATTCTCTTTCCCCATCACTTCCCTTTCCAATCTCTCCAGCGGCCCCCAGTGAGTTTGCCAAACTTCAGCCCTAGTCCTGACTGCAGCATTAGCACAGCAGGATAGAGACATTACATACATAACCGTTTTATTCTTCAGATTTTTTCAACTTCAGTTTTGCCAGACTTTCACGCAGCGAAGCTTTGGAGCCTTCCTGGGCAGTGTCAGTCTTCTTTTTTGGCCGCTGTTCTCTGGAACGTATCAAATCTTCACGTCCAAGTTCAAGCATTTTTGCTTCCCATGATTTCATTTCATTTTGATACCGAACCTTATCATCTTGAGCAAGCTGCAGGTATGGCTGAAAGAAAAGCACATTTCTACAGTCATCTAAGGGGCTGTATCTGGGTAAGTGCCATGCCACATCCTCTCCTTTGACAGAAAGGGAACTAACTACAAAACCTGTGCAGTACTCATCCCAGGTGTCCATTTTTAACCTCCAGCGAACTGAAAACACTTCCAACTTGAACAAAACCACAAAATGCTAACAATGAACAATAATCACTCCCAAAGAGGAAGCTAATTCAGTATTGTTACTAACAACTAAGGCATCTTATTTGTGTGCTGGTCTGAGAGAGCAGGCTTCTGTAAAGAACACAAATAGGTATTTCTGCACAAGTTGGTTATTTCTACAGAAGGAATACGAACTTCACACATATTCTCAGTACACATTCAAAACACTCTGGAAAAAAGGCATGCAAGAGAAAGGCAATGTAACTGTGAAGGGTCTGGAGCACATTTCTTATAGGGAGCAGCTGAGGGAGCTGGGGTGGTTCAGGCTGGAGAACAGGAGGCACAGGGGAAGCCTTATCGCTCTCTACAACTGCCTGAAAGGAGGTGGTGATGAGGTGGGGGTCTGCTCCCAAATACCAGCAATAGGACAAGAGGTTACGGCCTCAAGTTGTGTCAGGGGAAGTTCTGGTTGGGTATTAAGAAGAGTGGTGAGGTATTAGAACAGGCTGCTCAGGGAGATGGGGGAATCACTGTCCCTGGAAGTTTTGAAGAAAAGGATAAAAGTGGCCATGCGGAACACAGGATAGTGGGCATGGGGGGCTGACAACTGAACTAGACGGTCTTTGGAGTCTTTTCCAACTTTAATAACTCTATGAAAACTTGAAAAAATATGAAGATTTAATATCAGAATAGCATTCCTCCCTTTCCAAATAATGATCTGCAAATTCGTATTTAAATACACTTTTAAAAGCTGGCAGAAAAGTATCCAAGATAAAATTAAAAAATTATGTGCAAAATTGCTTTTACTGTGCATAATTAAAGGCCACAGACATACCTGCTTTTGAGAACTGGATAGATTTTTCCATGTTTCAAATAACTGCTTCAGCTTTGCCTGCGGAACATTGAACACACAATACATGAACATCATTTTAACGCCAGACCTCATAGAGGGTTACAGCTGAAAGCCAGGTGTAAAACAGTGTAAAAAAGCAAGTCAAGTCATGAAGGCTTTATTACCCCACACTTTTGATATAGGTAAATAATTGAAGACATGGTTTGACAGCTTGCTGGGCGTCATTTTAGACACTTCTACAACGATACCGGCATTCACAGTTGAAGTTAGTAAGGCTGCAGCAAAAGCAGGCACACCTAACAGATTAAGTAACTTTAGTTAACACGGCTACCTCTGACCCTTCCTATTGGCTTAATTTCAAACAAAGCCACACAGGAATTAATCACATCCAAGGAAATTCTGCATCACTTAAGAAGTACTGAGCTACATGGTTGTCAAACTGGACCTCAGCTGACTGGAGATACCTGTCTTGTAAACAGAAAGCTGAGCAACACAATTATTTCTACCAACCGGATTTAACTGCTGTGAAAGATATCAACATCCTCATTAAACTGGCATTAATTAACACAGAAAAGTGTTTCTGCAAACAAACTCCATCTTTCCACGGTAAAACTGGTAGCAGACCACTGTAACCATCTGATTAACTCATGTATTTCTAGGTCAAAGCAAAGTAGAACTGCATGCATGAAATGTTTAGCTCTGATGTGTACAAAGTGCAGGAAGAATTTTAAGCCTCTACCACCACACAGGAGTTTATACAGGATGTGCCAGATCACCACAGTGATATATTAAAATAAAATAAAGAAAAACCTCCAACAAAACCAACACAAAATACCCACTCAAGCATAGGAATATTCAGATACTGAAATGTTAGTTCAAAGCACTACTTCGAAAGCAACAGAATCCAAGACACACTGAATAGTTATTACACTCACCATATTTTTTACGACAGCTATCACTACTATACCTAAGTACTACTCAAATAAACCCTTCCTAGCTTACTTACTGTAGGTGAAAGTCCTTTGCTCTGCTGAAAGTTTTCTGATACAAAAATGTTGAAGCCACTTCGAGGTCTTTTAGGTTTTCCAAGCACAGTCAATTCCTTCAAAAACAATAAAAGCTATTCAATCCGTCCAAAAAACCTTTTTCCACAAAACTTCCCATCAGTGTTCATATTTCAACCAAAAGGTATATACAGACTGATTCTTCAGCTAAGTCTGGTTCTGGAAACCCAAGACTGTTATTAAATTCTATTCTGCAAGAAAGTAACGATGGTAAGGTTTTTTTTTTTATTGTTTTCATACAGTTTTGTTTATGGTGCGAAATACTGTACGCTTGCAGAGAAAAGAGGAGGTGGGTAACTTTGTGGGAGGCAGGACTGAACAGAATGAGCAAATCCCCAGGGAAAAAAAAGGTAATTTCTGCAATGAGAATCCTTTGTATACAGGGAAGTCAAAGAGAAAGCACTTGCTGCTGTTTTTTTTCCTCCAGCCTTAACACGTTCTCATGGCAGCCCAAGGTTCTGTAAGTTACCTGAAAACACTTACTCTCTTTATCCTGAAGGATCTTCTTTTTGCCAGCCGTTTTCTCCTTTCTTCTTTCAAAGCCGCAACCTGGGCTGGAGTTAGCTGTGCTTTGTATGCAGCCAACTGCTCTTCGTATTTTTTCCAGTCTGTCTTCCTTGCTTCCTCGTAAACCTACAGTACAACTACCAGCCTTAACAACATACTTTCATTCAGCTAAGCACGGTGCCTTGCATCCTCAAATCCATGCACTTGAACATCAAAAGCCAACACTTCTAACCTACTAGTTTAGTTCCAGACTATTGCACAACATAAGTTTGCAGACTGCCGTATCACATTTAGGTCTGAGTAGCAGAACAAATTCAAAAGAATGGATTTAAGCTGGGTGCACCCCATTAATTACCTGAGTTAATCTGATGACACAGCATCTGACATCAGGCAAATCAGATGCAGCTCAATGAAATAGTAATCTCCCACAGACGGAGGAAAAGCTGAAGCTCAGTTGAAGTAATGCCTTTTCACCCATGGCAACACACAAGCGCTTTGGTCCCCAAATGCACTCTCACAGCCACCAGCACTGAGCATAGCAGCATCATAAAATCACGGCCTTGTTATCAGAGCACCAAGCTCTGGACCAGCACCATCTCTCCCTCCATTTCTGACACACAAAGGAGAAGACAAACCTTGTAGTAATAGCCACAAGTTCAGAAAGGATGTCAGCACTCAGCTGCTCACGACAAAGGAACTCACTGCTAACAGGAATCACGGCAAAACACTAATTTGCTATAATTGGCACTTACAGCAATGAACGGCAGCTGAGTTTGTGGAGATGTTTCACATCATTATTTGAAACTCTCAGTGCAACTTAACGACCTCTAACAAGAAATAAGGTAAGCAGAGAAGACCGAAAGGCAGTTGCTTCAAGAAGCCAGGTCTGCGATAACACGTAAGCAGCCAAAGGCAGCAGGCGCTGGGTCGCACACCCCGATGAGCACTGACCTGCTTCTGCGAGGCCGGCAGCTCCCTCCAAACACCGGCCAGCTTCTTTACCAGCTCCAAGGTGTTCAGATCTGCGCGTCAGAGAGCAAAAAGGAAACCGCTGTATTTTCAGCTAGCTTTCCTCGAGGAAAAGCTGCCACCAGCACCTTTCTCCCGCACAATTTCCTTACGCCCGTCGCTCGCCGCCCTACCTGGGTTCTGCTGGCGGAAGGGGGGCTGGTTGTCCCTCAGGAAGCGGAAATAGGCGCTGAGGGGCCGCTTCGGGCGCTCGGCCGAGCTCATGGCCCGACACCGGCCCGCC